TTTTCACCATTCAGCTTCATGGAAAATTTATTAATTATTGTCATAGCAGACCTTCATTGTTTTGTAAAGTTCGTTCTCGGTATAGATCCACATGAGTTCAATTATGTATTTCAAATTGCAACTTACAGTTGGGTCATTTTAGAATTGAACCAAATTTATAAATATTTTAAATTAAGAGAAATTGAATTTTTTAAAGGAGTGTTAATCATTTTCTTTTATGCTATATTATGAAGAAATTACTAACATAATATGCGCAGAACAACTGGAACAACATGCAAGTTTCTAACTTTAAGATTTCAAGTTATTAATTACTCACAAAATAACGAATAGGGATAAAATCGTTTATTCTCCTAATAAGATATTTCTAAAGACGACACAAGTATAACTTCAGAAATTAGCTTCCATATTTCTTACAATAATTGTTTCCGTTTATCGGCCGAAAATTTTCCGAAATAAAGAAAGTTGTTAAGTCAATGATTTTTTTAAAAAAAAAACTCATAAATGGACAATTAGATCAATTGATTCAATTACTGAGATTACCGAAAGCCAAAGATCAAAAAATCAACATCTGATTCGATAATGTATATTTAATAATAATAATCTGATCGCAATTAACATCATTTCTATTTTTGATAATCTGTGTTTACAAATGTTGATAATCGTGTAATCACATACGCAAAGATCAGATCTTCTATCACAAACGGTGAAAAACGTGAATAATTGCCACGCATGATTATCTCACAGATATCGCCAAAAAATTATCATCGGTATTTTGCGGCTATCCATCTCATTTAAAACGAAAACTAAAAAAAAAAGATATAAAAGAAGGAAAATTATTTTATCAATTGAAACTTCATTCCTTCCATAATTCCTTTAATATCACATTTATCATTAACATTTTATAATTTATAAAAAAAAAATGTCAAAAGGTCGCGTTCTTCTAGCTTATTCTGGTGGTTTGGATACTTCTTGTATTCTCGTTTGGCTCATTGAACAAGGATATGATGTCCTTGCTTATATGGCCGATGTTGGTCAAGAAGAAGATTTTGAAGAAGCTAAAGAAAAAGCTTTAAAGATTGGTGCCAAGAAAGTTTTTGTTGAGGTAAATGATCATAATAAATAAAATAATATTTCGAAGATTTGAATTTTTTGTTGAATTAAATTTTAATGATATTTATATAGGACTTAAGACGCACTTATGTCAATGAACTCATTTTCCCTGCTATTCAAGCTAATGCAATTTATGAGGTATATTATTATCATTATCATTATCATTATTTTATAAAAAATAAAAGGAATCATGTTTCATCTAATCTTAACACATTTGTTTATTATTAGAACGTTTATCTTTTGGGTACTTCTCTCGCTCGTCCTGTTATTGCTCGTCGTCAGGTAATTATATTATCCTTGATTTTTTTATAATAACATCGACAAGTAATAACAAATTCAATTATCTATCTATAGATTGAAATTGCTACTCAAGAAAATTGCCAATTCGTTTCTCACGGATGTACCGGCAAGGGTAACGATCAAGTTCGTTTTGAATTGGCCTATTATGCTTTGAAACCAGATATTAAAGTCATTTCTCCATGGCGTATCCCTGGTAAATAATTTAATAATTGAATTCATGCAACATGTTTTCTTGATATCAAAAGAAAAAAAAAAGCTAATGAAATTAAAAATTTTTTTTTGATTAACCTATAAAAGAATTTTATACCCGTTTCCCTGGTCGACAAAGTCTTTTAGATTATGCGGCTCAAAAGAACGTACCAGTTGTTCAAACTAAATCAAAACCATGGTCAACAGATGAAAATTTGTAAGTTCTTAATAATGTAGCATTGAGGAATTTAATATAATATTATCTCCTTCGTATTTCTGATTCGAATTTTTTTGATATTTTATTAGATTCCATATCTCCTATGAAGCTGGTATCTTAGAAGATCCTAATGTAACACCACCAAAAGACATGTGGAAGTTAACCGTAGACCCGGAAGAAGCACCAGACACACCTGAACGTATTACCATCACATTCAAACATGGTATACCTACCAAGGTCGTAAATCATAATGACAACACCACAATAACCGATTCTCTCGATCTTTTTATCCACCTTAATATGGCTGCACGAAGAAACGGTATTGGCCGTATTGATATTGTTGAAAATCGATTCATTGGCATCAAGAGTCGAGGTTGTTATGAAACACCCGGAGGTACCATTCTTCGAACAGCCCATGTCGATTTGGAAGGATTGGTCCTTGATCGTCAAGTTCGTGCGTTGAGAGATCAATTTGTTACGCCCCAGTTCTCGCAAATTTTATATAATGGGCAGTACTTTTCACCTGAACGAGAATTCTTGTCTGCTTCACTAATAAGCAGTCAAAAATCTGTCAATGGGGAAGTGAAATTGAAGCTTTACAAAGGTAATGTGATCGTTGAGGGTCGTAAATCCGATACCGAGAAATTATACGACATGGAAGAAAGTTCTATGGATGTTCAAGGTGGATTCAGTCCGGTTGATTCCGAAGGGTTCATAAAGATTCAAAGCATAAGATTGAAGAAATGGGGTGCAAGTGAAAAACTTTTGTAACTTAATAATAGATTTATTAAACCTATTTCTTTCTTTCTATTGTTTTTTGAATTTAATATAGTTGTAATTTATTTTACTTTAAATTTCCATAGAAACTCGCATGTTTGACACGTGATCATTGTAACGTAAATTTTTTGTACAAAAATACGTAAAAAAAATAAAAATAAAAAGCATTTGTACTCATTTACTGAGATTTGAATGGATGATGTGTACTACGCCGATTACGTGCTATTTTCCGTTTGTCCAATAAGGCATGATCATCATTTGATTTCTGAGATGCTTATTATTTGGAATTCTTAATTTTTAAATTATGATAATATTTATATTAGTGAATTTTAAAAATTATAAATTTGACGATTCTGATTTGTGAGATTACTGCGCCATGATTAAAATATTTGCCTGTATATTTATATTAGAAGACATTTTCGTGCTTTTTGAGAAACAAGTTACTTATAAATTTGAAAAACAATATTTTCTCACAATACGTAATTTTTATGCCGAACAAGTTTATTAGAAGCTTTTGTGAACGATCAGCCGATTTTCAAGTTCTACGAAAATTTTAACTCCCCCTGAGATATTTTCAGTGATTCACAATCAAAACATTCTTTGATTCCCCTTGATATGCAAACCACGGACAATTCCTATCTTGTCCCAGTTATATTTTTAAAATAACCAATTTTTTTTATTTTGGTTTTTTTTTTTTTTTTTTTGTGTAAAAATAAAACGCGTTCTCATATTTTTAAGAAAATTCCCAATTATCCGTTCTACCAAATACCATTTTTAAAACCCGAATAGATAATTTGTTGTCCAATTATTTCGATAAAAACAGAATTTTATAATTATACAAATTCATTGTCTTCGAAAAGATTACAAAGTACATGCACAATCTTCGAACTTTATGGTTATCTCGAGAAGCACACCACACCTAAAGAGTTCATTTTTTTTGATAGAGGGCTAACTTTTTATTTATATACAAGTAGAAAAAAAAGGTCAAGTATAGAGAAGTGTGAGGACTTGCACGGCGAAGCAGCTCAACTCGCCGAAGCACGTGCTTTGGATCATCGGTCCCGGATTTCGAATGTTTACTGTGGTGCATCAATTTTCGAAATGTCGGTTTTGTTTGTTTGTTTGTTTAATGCTTCAAATTGTTGTTTTTATGTAAATACTGTAATAAAAATATAGAACAAAATGTCCCCGAGAAAATTATCCAATTTCTTATATTTTATAGATTGATTGGGAGCTTCGAGATATTTAGTATGGATTATATCAGTTTTTTTAGTTAACTGCGCCGTCATTACTATTTTAAGTAATTGGCGTGGGGTCGCGTTATGGGGCGTTTTGAGATAAAAGAAATCGCTTAGATACCGAAAAAAAAATTAGTCACACAATTCAAAGAAATGGAATGATCCGTTATGAATAGTTGCACTAAAATCCTTCTAAGGCATTCTAAGAGAATTAAAGTTCGCCCCCGTAAAGTTTTAAATTGGTATCATACGAGGAGATTTATATCATACTATAAATATATATATTGTACGAGCAAATTCAATTGTCTTGATTCACAACCAGTAAATTTAATTCGATTTATTAATATGATGATGCATGAAATGCATTGGGGTGACACATTCTTTCAACTTACGCACCAATCCATGGATCTCGGACAATGAAAAAATCACAAAATGTAAGTATCAAAAAAAGCTTGTGTTTAGTTAATTACCATCTATAGAGATCTGTGATCAAAGAATATATTTATAATTCCATTAAATTATCCGTAACTTTCTAACCTCCTTCTCTCTCTCCATTTCACCCTCCTCCCTCTTTATTTTTTTTTTTTCCTTCTTTAATTTTTCTCATGTTGCTCTTGCATGCAATAAGGAGACGAGGTGAAGGAAGAACAATCTGAAAGAGATTTATAATCGAAATAATAATAATAATATTCACTCATTGTAAAAAAAAAAAAAAAAATTTAATAAATTTGTTCTTTTTTTTTTTTTTTTCAAACTTGAATTACTGCATTATGCAACTTTGGTTCCTAATATTGTGCATTATAGTTTTCTTACTGTCTTGTGCCAGTACGTATATCCAAGCTAAGAGGCGCGCCTTTATTCTTACTTGTCTTGGTATCACGGGAATATTATTTTGTCTTTCTTTTCTTATCGCTGCCATCTCACTTCCTGAAGATAAAACATTTGAGAATTTGAATGAAAAAGAAGTCGTCATTTGTCACGTTACAGGAATATTACTCGCAATACAAACAATGGCCCTTTTATCTATAGTATTCGCCTTATCAATTGATCTTTTTATTACGTTTAGAATCAAAAATGGAGCAATTAAATATAGTTTCATATTGAAATCTGTCATTATCTTTTATTGTTGTATTCAACCTACCCTATTCATAGTAATAAATATAATTTTAATGTCAATTGAAGGTATTCGAATTATTCATGTAGAGAAAAGTGGATGGTGTAATGTTAGAATGGGAGGAAATCGTTGGGGCGTATTATTCGTAAGAGCGATCCCTCTTTGGTTTATTTCAATTCCCGGAGCATCGATAGCATGTAGGTGTTGATTGAAATAATTCTACCATGTGTTCAAATAGGTTAGTACGATTGAAAGTACGGGACGAATTTTTTTTTACTGCTCGACAAATGATTCCATTTGACGCGTCATTTATAAAAAAAATTCGTTTTAATTTTCAATCGTACCGAGATTTTGATTTTTTATTATTAAATATTTTGTCTGAAAAAGAATCCTTGGGAGAAAGAAGAAAAAAAAAATTTTTTTTCAATAAATTCGCAATATGAAGATTAATTAATTGACGCGTTTTAATGAAAATCAGGTGCCGCCATTCTTCCTTCTGCAAAGACAATTATATCTCGCAATAAGAATCGGGAATCTCGAAGTCAATCCACAATGTCTTCACGGAATCGTACCTCCAAGGAATGCTCAAATGAAATTGAACCTCGCCCAAATTCACCAACATCTGCAACATCTCCGGCTCCGGACGGTCCTCCATCTGATTTATCGCCGTCGACATTTCAAAGTACTAATAAGATAACTAATGAGGTCATAATTAGAATGGCTTTATATTGTATTACATATTTAATAATAGGTGTACCATATAGTATATATGGTTTATTTCGATTCTTTGATCATTGGAAGGGAAATAACATTTTAAATAAGGAAGATACGATACTTTCAGATTATGTAACAGCTGGAATTTGTATGGCAACATTAATATTAGTATTTATCATATTTGCGACCAATGACCCATCTATAAAGCAATATAAGCAAGCATGTTTTTGGTGGAAACTGAATTGTTTTCACCCGTTTTATGGATTTATTACAAGGTGAAAATATATACATGTTTTTCATCCTTTTTATTTAAATTTTAATAGATTTTGCTAATAGTTTTAGTATTTTCAGGCGAAAAAAAGATTCAATTCATGTAGATATAGTCAGGAATGTAGAAGCAAACGTGACAAAGGAGTCTAGAGAAAGTATTACCTCAAGAACAGTTTTACCAGAAGAAAATAATATTTCTTCAAATGAAGCACAAGAAAATATAGCGGTTGTGGTTTCAAGTAAAAATAGTATAACATCAAAACATAAGAAAAGGTGGTCAATCTTGACTGCTTCACAAGAAAGTTTGGTTGAATCAGAAAGAGCGGGGAAAAAACGTCGATCAACCGAGGGCACATTAACATTTAATATAGATGAAAATTCATCTCCATTGTTTAAACAAAAAACAAATCTACATACTCATAATTCGTCAATGTCTTCAACATCAATTTATTCGTCAGCTACCGCTATAGCGATAGAACCTTCTGAAACTTTATCACCACAAAGTAATAATGATCCACCTGATAAACCAACAGCTATTCCAATTTTGGGAGGACTTTCTCCTGCACCAAGACGGAATTCACCCCATTTTAATCCATTAAGAGATTATGAAGTTAAAGATGATGATGTTACTATGAAACGATTGTCTTCACCACAAATACGACATATTCAAACAAATCCACGCCTAACGGCTTCCGCACCAACATCACCAACATTACTACAAAATCGTTCACGTTCACCGCCTGGATTAAATTATATGAGAACAAGCAGAATGTCAACCGATCGTTATAATTCACGTAGACCTACGTCTCCATTACGTAGGCCTTCGTCACCAATTGCAAATAACAGATCATCTGGTAGTTCTTCGACAAATCATGTCGCTGGTTCTCAAGGAACACCTACAAGTACGCTTGAAGATATGCAAGATGAATATGAAGATGATGGAACGGATCCCTTTCCATCATTACTAAAGTTAGGGAAAACCTTTAATGATGATATAGGATCCTGGAGATCTTCAAGTCCATTAACACTTGGTTCAAGGTCCATCAGAATGAGTAATAGTGGAACATTTAATTCAAGGATATGGGACAGACCGGACACGGAAGCTATAAGCATAATATCATCATCCGAAACTATGGGTTCGCTAAGAAACTCAGGAAATCTTTCCAGAAGCGGTAGTTTACCGATAGTGAATTATGTTAATGGTAATATTAGTAGGATCGAGAGTCAAAAAAAATGATAAAAATTTATTAAATTTATTATTATTTAATTTGATAATTTGATAAGAGCATTATAAGTAATAATATATTATTAAAAAGGGTTGCGCTTTATTTATTATTTGGATAAAAACAAGTGAGAGGTGGCAAAATTTTATGCTTATTCATAAAAACTATTCTTTTTTTTATTTTTTAATCATAACCGCGACATCATTATTTTTTTTTTTTAAAAGGTATTATTTATTATCGTAGATATTTCATTGTTTATTTTATTATATTGGCTAAATGCCACCATTTATATAATATTAAAAAAAAAGTAGCATTTAATAGACGGAAAAGGAAGGGAGGACAAAATATTTTTAAATCAAATTTTTTTTTTTTTTTTTTTTTGATACACCATTTCATTCTCCTTCCTTTTCTTTTTTTCTTCTTTATCTTAATTTTCTTTCAACCTTGTAAATTTTTCAATACATTTATATATATTTATACAGTATATATGTTAGTTTAAACGAATTATTTTTCATCACTTTTTTTTTTTGATCGATTCCCTTTTTTTTGTATAATTTTGTATATGTGTTAAAATATTTGGAAAAATTTTTTATTTTTATTAATGAAATCGTCACACGGATAACATGAATTATTGTTCTTTTATTATTTGAATAATTTTGAACTTACATAATTTAACAGCATAATAAAAAATATTTATATAGGAGTGTAAGGCCTGATAATTATATAATCTTAGCAAATGCATTATTAATATTTATTAAAAATTTGCAATTACAGATTATCAGACATATAAACCAATTAGTTAGTAATACAAAATTATGAAGCATATATAAAATGAATGTATATTTATTATAAAAGAAAAAATAAGATTAATCTTATAAATTCAAAATTATACAAATTAAATTACTGATTACTAGATAAATATATTTAATATATTTATTTTAAATTTCAAATTTCAAATTTTATTTATTAATATTTTATATTTAATAATGTAATTTAATGCTTTTAATTTTTAAATCAGAAAAAGTTTTCATTTTACAAATAAATATAAATTTTAATTATTACTAAAAAAAATTAATAATTTACATAATATTTATTATAAAGATTTTTTAAATTTATATCTTTTATTAAAAATTTTTTTATAAAAAAAAAAGATCTTTTAATAAAACAATTATAAAAAGGTAAAAGATAAGTAAAATAAAAATTAGTTTATTAAAAGAAACAAAATTTTTAAAATTTTAATATTATAAATTATCTTTTAAAACTATAGAATAAATAAATTACTTACAAATTTTAAATATTAACTTTAGTAATAATAATTATATAAAAAATAGAGTTTAATTATATTTTTTTTCAAATTTTTTACAATAATTTTAATTTTAAAATATTTCTTATTCATATACAGTCACACCTCGATATAACGAAGTTGCTGATCCAGCCGATCAGGACTTCGTTATAAGAATCTTCGTTAA